TTTTTTTCTTAAAAAGAAATTTACTTTATGTTGTTTTGATAAACATTTTTCCCTAGTTTCAGTTTGATAAAATTTTTTCTAGTTTGGACTGAATAAAATCAAATTCATTATTACATTTATTTGGTTTTTTTCCTAAATAAAATAAACAAAGACAATATTAAAAAAAAAAAATTTTACAGCTGGTGGTGTTGAATAAGTCTTTCATTATCTGTTTTTATTGTCCTATCCTTTAGGAATTTGTTGGCTACGTGTCTTTGAGTTTCCTAGTTATCAGGATTACATGTTTTATTGTTTTTAGTGGCTAAGTGGTTGCTAATTTCTAGCTTAATTTAGTTGTTGTTTTTAGCCCATTTTGTAAGGTCGTTTTCTTTCTCTTGAATAAAATGAACAGATGAATTTCCTCTTCCAATTAGCTTGAGTTTACATTCCTTTTGTTTGTTTCACTTGCAAAATCTGTTTATGCCCAGCAGGTGTTAGATTTAATTCCTCAAAGAATATTCACCTTAAAGCTTTTGTTCAACTCTGTTTTTCTACATTTGGTATCAGAGCTTGGTACATTGAGGGGACCAAACACAGCGGCTAATGGCGTCTGAAACCTTTGTGCAGCCAGCAATTCCTCGTTTTGATGGTCACTATGATCATTGGAGCATGCTGATAGAGAATTTCTTGAGGTCTAAAGAGTATTGGGATGTGGTTGAGTCTGGGGTAGCAGAACCAACTGCTAGGATGTCAGAAGCTCAGAAGGCAGAGTTGGAGGCTTTAAAATTGAAGGATCTCAAAGCCAAAAATTATCTCTTTCAAGCAATTGATCGGACAATCTTGGAGACTATTCTTTGCAAAGATACCTCCAAGCAAATTTGGGATTCAATGAAGAAAAAGTACCAGGGAACCACAAAAACAAAGAGGCGGCAGCTTCAAGCACATCGTTCGGAGTTTGAAATACTTTGAATGAAAGAGGGTGAGACTGTCACTGACTATTTCTCTAGGACAATGGCAATTGTCAACAAATTGAGGACCCATGGTGATAAGACACAAGATGCTACTGTTGTTGAGAAGATACTACGTTCAATGACACCAAAATATAATTTTGTTGTCTGTGCTATTGAGGAGGCAAATGATCTTGATGAAATGTCACTTGAAGAACTTGAAAGTTCCTTGCTGGTACATGAAAGGAAGCTGAATCGACAAGAGTAGAATGAGCAAGCTTTGAAGGCCACAATTGGCACCTCTTCTTCATTTGCAAATAGATCAAACAAAGGAAGAGGCAGAGGTAGAGGAAGAAATCAGCAAACTCAGTTTTTTGAAGGAAGAGGAAGGGGGCGTGGCAGATTTCAGATTTCCTACAGACCAAAGTCAGCAGACAAGTCCAAAATTGGAGTGCTTTCGGTGCCACAAGTATGGGCATTACCAATCTGAATGTCGAGCTAATTTGCCTAACAATGAAGGAGAAAAATCAAATTTTGCACAAATTGAGGAGGAAATATCCTTGCTGATGGTATGTCATGATGGAGAAGGGTCTAATAAGAACCTGTGGTATTTAGACACTAGTTGTAGCAATCATATGTGCGGAGACAAGGCAGCTTTCTCCACCTTGGATGAATCTTTTAGAGATAATGTGAAGTTCGGAGACAATTCTAAAGTCTCGGTCAGGGGAAGAGGACAGGTGACCATTCAAATCAGGGGTAATGCTGCTCAAACAATTTCTAATGTCCTTTATCTTCCAGAATTGAAGACCAATCTGCTAAGTATTGGTCAATTGCAAGAGAAGGGTTATGAGGTTATCATCAAGAATGGAGTGTGCCGGATTCAAGATTCCAAATTGGGCTTAATTGCTCAAGTTAAAATGACTGCTAACAGAATGTTTCCTCTTCATCTCAACTGTGCTAGTCAGTCATGCTTGGCAAAGACAAATGATGTGGCTTGGTTGTGGCATTCTCGCTATGGTCATCTAAACTTTGGTGGTCTCAAGCAACTTCAACAAAAGAACATGGTGATTGGTCTGCCTAATTTTGAAAGTCCCTCAATTGTTTGTGAAGAATGTGTTATTAGCAAGCAACACCGTGATCCATTTCCAAAGGGGAGTTCAACCAGAGCAAGGAGGCTATTGGAGATTGTACACTCTGATATTTGTGGACCAATTAATCCAGTTTCCAATGGAGGTAAACGTTATTTCATTACTTTCATTGATGATTTTAGTAGAAAAACATGGGT